ATTTTATGGTCCTCCAGCTATTTGATATTCTTGGGGCTCAGGGTTAAAGGTTATTACCCCAGAGAACCATTACGAGGAATCTTTAAACAAATTAGGAGTGGAGGGGTAAAGAAACAACCTCTTCCTCCTTTATGCAATGGTCCTTTGCTATGTCCCTTTGATTTCACCCTGGTGAGACCCACCTCTTTCCAATTAAGTTCTTTATTTGTTATGTTTCTTCTTGTTATACCGAGAAATTAGCCAGTTGACCACCCAGGCTAATTTTAAATTGTGGACTTTATTATATTAGCGCGCGGCTGCCAGGGATATTCACATCCAAATCAAGCAGCACACATCAGGGGTCGAGCCAGGGTTTATATAGGGAGTATACAGGACAGGGAGGGGGATGGATCTTAGAAGTCAGGCAAGAGAAAGAGGTTTTTTTTTTTTTGAGCTGGTCAAGGACACCCCTCTCCCTCTATCTAGATATGATAATGATCTGCAAACTTTCTCATAATGGAGGCTTCCAGAGATATGATCTGAGGGCTGTGGCCTGAGCAACCAGATAAGGGTCTTGCTAAGGAATTTGGAGGTTTCCATGGCCTAAAGGGTTCTACTACCTAAATGGTAAAATAATGTTCTGCATTACATTCTCAATGGCTGCTTCTGAACCACTTTCATTAACAATGTTTTTTTCTTGCTTGTGTCTTTCAGGGGGCGCTTGGTCCACAGGGCCCACCAGGACCCCCTGGAGTCAGAGGCTTTCAGGTCAGTAAAGTCATTAGGTCAGCAAAGGATGAGGTAGGGAATTTGGGCCTAATATTGGGAGTAATATTTGGGAAGGACCATTCATTCCTATGTGGGAAAAAAGGGGGCTGGGTGTCAAGGGAGGAGGGCAAAAATGTATGGGGGACCCCTTCCTGTTGGCTCTGTCCTAGCATGTGGAAGAATGAGTAGTGGGCTGGAGCTTTGGGCTACTCCTGGCTGGAGTCTGATGCAAGTCAGGGAGGGTAGGAGCCAATGGATCAGGCTACTCCTAGAAATGGTAACCACAATCAACTCCTCATATCAAATAGATGTATTTTCCTTGACCAATCTATATAGTCACCCTAGTCACCTGGCATTGGGTGTTCTGGAAATGCAGCTTGATTTTAGATAGCTAAATGAATAGGTAAAACATTCATTAAGCACTTACTATGTACTAGGCACTTCACTAAGCTTCAGGGATACAAATATAAGGAAAGAAAACAATCCCTGCCCTCATAGAGCTTATATTCTAGTGAGGGAAGACAATACTGAAAGGGAAGCTAGAAAGAAGTGAGAGTAAGTCAAGGGGTGTGCACACAATGGCACTGTTTGGAGGTGGCTGAGAAGTCTCAGTCCAGGAAACTTAAGGGCTCACCTTTCAGAGCCCAGAGTGATTCCAGGGATGAATCTCAGTTTCCAGTGGGGAGGAGGTAGGGATAATGACTGGAGAGCAGGTGGATTTGTTTGGAGATGACCAGGAAGTGAGGTAAAGGCCTGGATCCCACCAACATAAGGTAAAGCCCACTTACCAGAGCCTGGGGTGATTCCAGAGGCTGAGAAATATAATTAGGAAGCCAGGGGAATACTACTTAATGTATCCCAGCGTTCAAGTAGAAATGATTTTTTTTTGGTTTTGCTATTCCTAATTATCCACTATTGTGGATTATCTAATCTTTTGGATTAAATGTGCTGTTTGCAAGAATGCTGTCATTTATAATTGCTCCTTCATACTTGCACTTGAAGAACAGTCACATTCTCTGTCCCCTCCCCAACATTCCAACATTTCCGTGTATAATCAAAAATTGCCTGTGTAGTAAGATAAATGGGGCAGGTGAGAAGGGCAAAGGAATTCATTTTGTGGTGGGTTTAATGGATAATAGCTTCTAATTCAAATAAAAAATTTATTATGCATCTATGATAGCACCTTGTCGTGTGCTTAACACAGGGGATGAATAGATGAAAACTGACATTGTGCCTATCCTCAGAGGCTTGCAGTCTAGTAAGAGTGGAGAAATGCCAGATCCAGAAGCATTAAGAGATGAAATTTTCTTCCCAAGAGGATATAACCTTGTTACTCATAAAATGACACAAAAAAAGACTTGGATTGTTGGTCAACCCTCCCCTCCCTGTGTTCCCTTGTGCCTATGTTAATTACCTTTAGAGTTATGAATCTGAACGTAGAGAATAAGCTCCATCTAGGAAGGAACTTTTGTTACCCTGGAGTTATTTTTCAGAAATGTCTATAACCAACTTCCCCTCTGCTGTATTGCTTACAGGGTCAGAAGGGCAGCATTGGAGATCCTGGCTTACCTGGCCCTCAGGGCCTTAGAGGTGGTATTGGAGACAGGGTAGGTGAAATAATCTTCTGGGATAAGAGAGGCAATGAGATATTGTGATTTTCCCTGAGATCAATGAATTGTTTCTTCTGTGCCACCTTTTTTGAGAAGTTTACAGGCACTGGAGAGTGAATTCTTTGCCTTATATTTACATTCAACATGTTAGAGATGTTATAGAAATATTAGAGGTAGAAAGGGCATTAGAGCTCATCTAATACAACTTCTTTTTATAGTAAAAAAAAAAACCCACTCCTCAATCTGAGGGGGAAATGACTTGCCTAAGGTCACACAAGAAGTTAGTGGCAGTGCTAGGATTGGAACCTAAATCTTTTTGTTTTTTGTTTGTTTTTAGGCCATTGGGGTTAAGTGACTTGCCCAGGGTCACACAGCTAGTAAGTGTCAAGTGTTTGGTCTGAGATTGGATTTGAACTCAGGTTCTCCTGACTTCAGGGCCGGTGCTTTATCCACTGTGCCACCTAGCTGCCCCAACCTAAATCTTTTTGACTTGTAATCCTGTATATTCACTTTCTACTACACCACAGTGTTCCAAAAGCCCTTTCAATGATAGTTAGGGACTTTGAGGGCAATCATAACTGTGGCAGATCAACTTACTTCTCTTAGGGAAAAAGACCAAACTAGTGTCCCACATTCCAGAAGCAATTTGGAATTATTAGAGAAAAGTTACTAAACTCTTCATATCCTTTGATATGGAGATTCAATTTCAGAGCATACACACACACACACACACACACACCCAAATTAAGAGACAGAATATACTAAAATATTATATACTAATATACTAAATATAATTTACTATATGTTAATATATAGCAAATATATACTAAAATAATTAAAGTACTACTTTTAAAAAATTAATTTTTTTTCAATTAACTACAAACTTACTTTCTCTTTCTCTCCTCCTACCTAACTGAAAAAGAAAGAACAACAAAGCCCTCACTACAAATAAGTCAAGCAAAACTAATTCTTACATTGGCTATATCCAAAAAACACATGCATGAGTCTCTCACTTCTCTGTCAGGAGGTGGGCAGTATGTTTCATCACATGTCCCTTAGAATCATGGCTGTTCATTGCACTGATCAGAGTTCTTAAGTCTTTCAACATAGCAGCACTTAATAAAAAGAAGAAAAAAAACTTTATACTGATATATTTTGTTCTTACATCATACATATTTCTCGATATAACCTTTCTCCCCCAGAACCACCCTTTGCTTATAACAAAGAATTTAAAATGAGGGAAAATGTTTATCAAAACTTACCAACATGTTTAAAAAAATGACACAACATGAAGTATTCCACATCTGTAGTCTTCTGCCTCTACAGAGAAGGCCAAAAGATAGCTTCTCATATCTCTTCTTTGGGACCAACTTTGTCATTCTAAGTTCACAGCATTCAGTTTCAATTGTTTGGTTGTTTTCTTTCCATCCCATTGGTTTAGTCATATATGTATCGCTTCCTTCACTGCATATCAGTTCCTGTGTCTTACCAGGCTTCTCTCTATTTAGCACATCCATTTCTTTCTTTTTGCACACTACTATTCTATTCTATTCGTGTACAATAACTTATTTAGCCATTCCCCAATCACTGGGCATCTACTTTGTTTCCATTTCTTTGCATTCACAAAAAGTGTTTGTAACAGCTAGAAACTGGAAATAAAGTGAATTCTGACTGATTGGGATATACCTTAACAAACTGTATAGTGGAATACAATGGAATATTATTGTAACACAAAAAAATTATGAATCTGAGTTATCTCACAAGCATTTCAGAATAATTCAGACACCTTAATTTCCTCCTTCCCCCACTGAACAAAATGTCCCTTTCTCTTAAAAGAATGTCTTTTGGGGACACGATGGACCCACTCTAAACTTAGACACACCTATTTCCCAGTACATTGTAGCAGACAAGTGGGGAGATGGAGGGAAATTCATGCTTCAGACCTTGATTCATTCTTGAAGGTGGAAGTTCAGTATAAATCAATGCCCTGTGGAGTTAGGACAGTGGGCCCTTTGTTAACCTAAAAGCTAGACATTCCAGAGGTTGGGAAAAACTACCCAAAAGCTCTAGGGGCCCCTGAGATGACATAGAAGCCCAGAGAAGCAGGATGGTTGCTAAGCTTAGGAACATATCAATAACTGCTTTCATTCAAGAAGGCACAGCAATATGAGCCAAGTTCTCCTGGTAGGTTTAGCTAAAGGAAAAGACATATTTATTCAACTTCACGCTAATGATCATTAAACACAATTTTTTGTCTTTATTTTTTATTTACAGGGAAAAATCTGAATATGTTTGGTCTTTGTATTAAAAAGGGAAAAGGAAGAAATCATCGCCAATAACTGTCAAACATTTTCTTCAATCTTATTGTAATCCCCTAGGAACACAAACTGCATGTAGAACAGCAAGGTCTCAGGGCTCTGTGGTCTGAGGCTACCTCACTGACTGTGAGTTTGGCTCCTGGCTCAGTGACCATGCCCTTACCACACTAGGAACTGATGTTATTCCTCAGCTCAGCTGCTTTTCCTTCCCTTCCACAGGGCCCCGGAGGAGCTATGGGTCCCAAAGGAAACCAGGTGAGTGGAGGAGCTGAGATCCCTGTTTGTCTTCACTCAGGAGGCAAAGAGTGCTGATCATATTTTAAAAGGGACTTCACGCTTCAGCTTCAGTGGAAATAGCCATATTGACATCAGTTGCTGCAATCTCATATAATAGAATAATATCGTAATTGATGATGATGCAAGCTAGGTACTATGTACTTAGGGTTTCTATAGTTGCAACTTAGTGGCAGACGCCCTCTCATGGTATGAAGAGGAAACTTTCATTCACCTAATAAAGGAGCTGTCCTTTGTAGGCAAAGATGATGAACCATTGTTGACAGGATAGTGATCCTCTAGGATAGTGATCCTCCAGCAGGGGAGAAAGACTGATTTAGCCGTTCCCTTATGCAAATTTAAACTACAGCTCTGGCTTCATCATCTCCAGGTTTTAACTACTGAGCAAACCTATAACATTCCAATAATTCTATAATACAACCCATATGGAATTGAGACCATTGCAGCAAACCATGCCTCATCCTTACTCAGTATAATCACTGGACTGGTTTTCCTAGATGACTACTCTCCCAAAACACTTTGCCATTCCTTTTTGTAGTTCATGTAACTGAGTTTCCTAAGTTTGAGGAAAATTTTCATGAGAATTAGAATGTATTGGCTCTTTCTTAACAAAATCCATGACTTAATTCAGACTCGATTTTGGGCAATTAGTTTAGTTGAATAGGAGAGACATTTTATAAGGACAGATAATGAATGACTGTGGACATTTTTATCAACTTGTGTGCTTGGTGGGCTTTCTTTTTCCCTCTCTTCCTGCGGTCCACTTTCTGGCTCCATCTTTGGGCTTACTGCTCACTGAAAAAGGGGCCTTCTTTATTTCTAGAATGACCAATAAAGAATTGGTAAGACAGCCAATTAGGTTGTATTCCAATTTACAAGGTATAGCTGACAAATAGAACTGAATGTTCAGTGTCCAAAATGATGATTTGGGAGAGAGGGCAAGGAAAGAGGAAGGTTGTGACTGATGGAGAATTATTAAGGATCCTTATCTCTTAAGCTAGAGATTTGATTTTCATTTTGGTAAATTAAAATAAATGTTCACAGAACCACAGAATTTCAGAGTTGGGAATGACCTCAGTGGTCAGCTAGTCCAAACCATTCCCAGAAAAAAAATCCACAATGATACACACAGCCATTGATGTGGGGGCAGAGGTAGAAGTGGTTTGGTTTGGTTTTTTTAAGTTTAACACTTCCATTGTGATTAGAGATTTCTAGGTCATCTCCACTTAGCTCTAAAGGACAGATTGGGAGAATACAGTAGACACAGGGAGGGAAGAACCGAGTTGCTTTGAATGCATAGAGCTTTTTCTCCCTTCATTCCTTTGTGGGAAAGTTTTGTGCTTGTCTCTCCAGGTCCTTAGCTGCAATTTGCCAATCCTGCCTTCAGACTACCTGACCAAAACTCAGATCCTTCACCTTCGTATATGCAAAAGATTAGGAGATTTGGATTTGAAATCCTACCTCACTCCCAACTAGTTAGGTGGCGATAGCAATAATAGATGTACTGGCTGTAACTCAGATTATACCAAATCTGAAACAATATAAGTCTAAGCTAACTGGTCGCCAACTAATTTAGCTAGAAAATGGCCTGGTAAAATGGGATCATGATAGAGGATATGTATTGTCAAATAATCTATGTTCATGCATTACGGAGACTGAGTTGTTATTGACCTTAGTTTGTATTAAATTTGTTTCACGAAAACCATTCAATTCCTTAACATCAGAGAGTTGGGATGAGAGTGATGACCATCCTTCCACATAGTTTGGTCTGTTAATATTGAGGTATGTCATTTTCAGGGTATTGCTGGAGCTGATGGTCTTCCTGGGGACAAAGGAGAACTGGTACGTTTGATTAAATTCATCTTTAAAATCCAATAGCAGTAGAAGCAATCCAAGTCCAACTGGAACTTCAAACAGGAAATTTGGAATTTGTAGATGAGAATTCAAAAGAAAGAGATCTGAGTGTAAGAACACAGAAATTCACAATGGGTAGTAACAATGAATCATGATAAGCAACACCATTTCTCTTTACTGGACAACTGTACCCAATGTCTAGGTATAGTGGAACATGTCCTAGGAATAGAAAGTAGAGGATCCAGTAGGTTTCAAGCTATTCTTGGTGAATATATTTTTAATCTTTCAAAAGACCTGTGATTCCATCAGTGGAGATGCTCCATCCACTCATGTATAAAATAACTTTGTCATGCCTTAGTGGGTGGCTTCTTAAATTGTGGCGACCAAAAAAAAAATCCACCAAATAGTGGTCAATCTTCTGATGATGATTCTTTTGGCAAGGCTAGTCCTGAGACAGAGAGTGGTGAAGCTATACCTGAAGCCTTTACAGTATGACAGGACCTGGTGTAGCCTTTGCTTTTGTGGCAAATGTTACCTTTGAGAAGCACATTATGATAAATCACATAATAGAAGAACTTTACTAAATGATTACAACACTGAAATGATGTTTTCCTGATGGCATAAATTTATCCAAAGTGAAATGCCTGAGATAGACTATATATTTCTTTTCACTATAGAAATAACTATTCAATGTAGAGGGGTCAATGATGTTCTTAGCTAAGTTAACTCAAGCAAGAAGTTTTAATTGTAAGAAAAGATTCTCTTGTTATGGGCAAAAATCCATCAATTCTGGCTAAGTGTTCCATGAAATAAAAGAAACATTTCTTGCACGTGCTTTGTTGGCCCATTGTGAAGATTAAAAGGTACATAAACCCCACTGGTTACTGTACAGCCAAGAGGAATTCAGCTGATCTGTTTCTGGCCATGAGGACAGTAATTCATCCATACCAGTGCTCCCAAAGTTAACAACTATGGGCCTAAAATGGATTTCAGAAAATCTATCCAACTTTAAAGTAATTAGTATTTCAAAGATAGTAATTAAATTTCCTCTGTGTCTTTGGATGAAATAGATAAGTTTCTTTACCTTCATGCACTTGCTGTAGCCTCATCACAACTCAATGAATTTTCAAGATCTTGGGCCCACACCCTATAATTATTAATTACTTTTTCAAGGCTAAGGAATTAGATACATAAAGATTCTTCATAGCACTTGAAGATTTGAGCTTGAATCCCCTTTGGCTGCTGAGGACAGAGAAAAGGGAGACTAGTGAGAAAATCACTGATTGTAAATTAGGAAACCTTACCTTTGTTGAACTGTATTAATGATGAAAGTGATGGTTACATTTGAAAGATAAGTCTATCGCAAACAAGTCATGCCTTTTTCACTCTCGGCTGTTGTAGGGACCAAGTCTACTGTTAGTTTGACTTCTAAATCCATTTTTAAAATCAAATAACTACCTAACAAACATTTTTTACAATGCTCTATCAGAAATGGGAATATGCCCCCAAACCACACAGTCTTGAAGTGCTAGGGAGTCTAGTGTGGCTTTTAAGAATATCCTCATATCATGAAATGGCTGGGGTATATAGGCAAAAGCATCAATTAAATGTAGTTTTTAAAAAGACAATATGCCCATTACTAGGTTCATGTGTTTCTACTACATTGGCACATCAGTGGCTTTTAGCTCACAACAAAAAGGCAACCTTTTAAACATTAACTCCTCTCCTTCCTCCCTTAATCCCCACACTCCTTTTTTTATTTCCCCAGGGTCCTAATGGTCCTGTTGGACAAAAAGGAGAGGTAAGCGATTGTCAAAGATTTGAACTTGGAAAGTTTCAGAGTACACATGTTAATCATATTTCTGGGGAACTTCTGATTCGATTATAGGATTTGATCCAAGGATTCTATCATCTCCTGAATTTTATGATGGTTCTTTTTTCTTTCTTTAAAGAGTAGTTCTGAGTGGAGGGAGAGATTGCACTTAACCAGCTACCTGCCTTTTGATTAATTCTCCTGTGGACAGGAACCTTTGGTTTATTGGGTTCCAAATGTAGGAGTTAAATGACTGCTTGAATATAAACCAATCCAGAATAAACAAAGCCAAGATGGGAAATTATTTAGGGAAATAGGAGTGATTGGGATTAAACCACTGACTGCTCTTAACTTTGTCATATCTTCATATGTATAACAGGTGTCATATTTCTTGTCCTCTCAAAAGGAAGAATGGAGGGAGGGAGAGAATTTGGAACTAAAAATAACTTTTTAAAATTAAAATTAAAAAACAAAAAATGTGTGAGGCTCAGAATATGCAACACATGGCATGTGCTCAGCAAACAGTTGTCAGTGTCCATGATGAGAACAATTTCTGATAATTAGTAAGCATGCTTTATGAGTGATTGATATGAAAGACATTTTCCAAGCTTTTGTTTGATATTCAGAAAAGCATTAAGCCTGCAAAGGAGTACTTCACAAACAGGTATGCAAACATTAAGAAATAGTTTTCATATTCTAATTCTGACCCTCCCCTTCTGGGTTTTTGTTGTCCCCCCACCTTTTTTTTTCAGTCAGGTAGTAGAGGAGAGCTGGGCCCTAAAGGTATTCAGGGTCCTAATGGTACCACTGGTGTCCAAGGGCTCCCCGGCCATCCTGGTCCAGCAGGCTTCCAAGGAGTGCAAGGTGTCCCTGGAATTACTGGAAAACCTGGGGTTCCTGTAAGTATTCTTTTTGTTCTTTCTTAAAATAGGTACATATTGGAATCTGAATGTTCATTGACTTTACAGATGAGGTGTGGAGATCAGGGCCTGGACCTGTGAGGAATAGGATTAAACACTCCCCTACACACATCCCCTTCCCATACACACACACACAAGGGTCCCTTTGCAAGGACCAAAGGTTATATATCCAGTTGAATTGTGCACTGGGTACCGAAACGATTATCTGTGATCTTATTTGCTTTAAAAAAAATTGGTGATTTCAGGGTAAAGAAGCCAGTGAACAACATATAAGGGAACTGTGTGGAGGAATGATTATTGGTGAGTACCAGGATCTGAACAATTATGTAAAGTACAGATTTCCATCTACACTTCTTTTCACCTATTTAACAAAATACAGAATAACTGGGAATCAAGAAAACCTTACTCCCCATCCTCCTGCTTCTGCTCACGTAGAAGCTGGTAACTGAGAAGAATGAAGGGAAGGTAACTTTGCTAGCACTATTGGTGGGGACAGAGATAGGAAGAAGGGTAAGGTGAGGTGAGGAATAACTACTGCCTTGCTCTTTCTTACCTTGGGGTATTGTATTTATCAAATGAGATAATGTACATGCAAGTGCTTTGAAAACTGTAAACTGTTAAACAAAGGTAAGGTGGTAGTAATAGTGGCATCACCACCACCACCATCGTTATCGCTATTTTTATCATAGTGATTGAACCCTAGGCAGGAATGTGGCTGCTGGGAGCGTAACTAGTTGCAGTGTTTCAATGGGAGACCTCAAAAAATACTCAGGTCCTGATATAAAAGAAACAGTAGAAAATTAGTTTCACTTGTGTATCTCTGCTCTAGTTCCCAGAGGTTGTCTTAGTTGAATTTAAATGAATTGTTTAAGACAATACTATTTTATGTGTGGCGCTGACATAATTTAGCTGAGGATGAATTAGACAACCAGTCAAAGTCTTTTTTAGTCTTGTCACTAATTCTATTGAAAGGTGTTCATGCTATTCATAAAAGGAAACTAGTTTTGGCTGTGTGATTCAAAGACAGAACATAAAACATTTCCTTCTTTAAAGGATTAATTTCTTAATATAACACTGATTCTGGCTCTGGACAAGGTTTTTATGGTTTTTCTAAAAATATCTGTGATAATATATACATGAATTCTCTTCTATATGGTGTACATAAACAAAAGTTGACACTTTTCCTGTTTTCTATCTCCCCCCCCAAAAAAAAGAACAAATTGCACAGTTAGCTGCTACCTTAAGGAAGCCTCTAACTCCCGGATCAATTGGCCGACCTGGTCCAGCTGGTCCCCCAGGCCCTCCAGGTCCAGCAGGATCTATTGGCCATCCTGGTGCTCGTGGGCCACCTGGGTATCGAGGTCCAACTGGAGAGCTAGGAGATCCAGGTCCCAGAGGTGAGTTGTAGCTCTGCTGATACTGTGAATTCCGTTGTGGACCCTCCCAACTTTAACTGTTCCCCTGAAATCAGAATTGCACTAAATTGTTGGATTGTTCTATATTTCATTTCACTCACTTCTTGGACCCTAGATATATTCTCAGATAAAGGTACTAAAAAACAAAAGAGGCCCGAAAGGGAGATTAGGGGTCTGAATAATCCATAAACAAGGGAACCAAGAATTTGTTAGAAGTGATGAAAAACATGGAGGAAGAAATCATGATTTCTTGTAAATTAGTGGTTTGGAATAATTCTAGTCAAACCAAACAACCATGTTTCTGATTTCTGACCTTTACTCAGAAGGCTCTCCTGCCCGAAGTGCCTTTTTCATTCTTCTCTGCTAACCCATTTCTTTCAAGGTTTAGCTCAAGTACTTATAGAACTAATTTAACATGTACATAAAATGAGAAAAACATGCCACCTAGTTTGTAAATTCCTTGAGGGAAGAGACCATGTCTTATATTCTTTTCTATTTCCCCTGAATACAACAAATTTTACAGCATCTTAAGCACTGGGGGAAAATTAAATAATTGCAAAACCACATCAGAATATTTTGTGGGGAAATCATCTGGGGAAAAATATAAAAGATGAATTAATAATAAAACAAAGACAAAGTTCCACAAAATAGGGAAGAATAATTAAGACATTCTTTGAAGAATCTTGACATGAATTCCTATTTTGAAGACCAGAACCATCATGGCACAGTGGGTAGAGAGACAGTTTCAAAGCCAGAAAATCATGGGTTTTGGTCCTGGCTCTGACACACATTGTCACTTAACTTCACAGTGCTCTGGTTAAGTAGCTAAGACATGAAGAGAAGGTGCCAATCTGCATTCATAGAGGGAATTTCCTCCCAGGAATTCCCTATACTGGTACAATCACAGTCCCACACCCTATCCCTATTTTGAAGGTCAATCACTGATTAGTTTATGTCTTAGTTACAACTGAATATTGAATACTGAATAAGCCTAAATCCTTGCCAGATAAAGTAAGACTAGGAAATTCACATGTAAACTATATTTAGAAATGATATTGAATTTCCTAACACACACTAAGGATTGTGATGAACTAAGGAAATTTTAATTCAAACAAAAAAAACACATGAAATTAGAATATATATGTACATACATACATATATAGTAATAATAATAGCTAGCATTTATATAGATCCTGTTGGGTGCCAAGCACTGTGTAAAGTGCTTTACAAATATTATTTTATTTGATCCTTACACCAATGCTGGGAGGTAGGTGCTTCATTTTACAGTTGAGGAAAGTTAAGTGACTTGCCCAGATTTACACATCTAGTAAATATCTGAGGTGGCACTTGAACTCAGGTCTTGGTGGTGGTACTTTGTTGTTGTGGTTGTTGTTGTTTTTAACATAAGTTCTGAGTAGGAAAGAAAACTAACACTGAATGCTACCACTGATGTGTAGTCCAAAGAATATGATTTGGAGCTGCTTTTTCTTAGCAGAACTCTCAATATAGGAGATCTTAACACAGGGAAAATATAACAATGCAATATAATTTGAACTACTGAAATTTTTTTTTTGGTGGGGGCAATTGGGATTAAGTGACTTGCCCAGGGTCACAAAGCTAGTGTCAAGTGTCTGAGACTGGATTTGTACTCACGTTCTCCCGACTCCAGTGCTGGTGTTCTATCCACTGTGCCACCTAACTGCCCCAAACTATTGGAATTTCTGAATTCCCCATTTTAAAATGGTCTTTAAAATTTACCTCATTTTATCACTGCAAAGTCAGTAGTATACATAAATTAAACTCACAGTTAATTTAAAGGACATTTTCATTTAAAAACATGGCTCCAGGCAGCATAACTCTGATTTATTATGGAAATGTATTTATATAATTTTTTCAAAGGCATAAATTTTCGGGATTAGAAAATACAGAATTACTTTCCAAAAAATTTCCCTACTACAGTAGTCCAGGTATGAAGTGATGAGGGTCTGCACCAGGATGGTGTCAGTGTGAATGGAGAAGGGGGTGTACAGAGATATTACAAAGGCAGAAATGGCAAGACTTGGCAATTGATTGAGTATGGGGGATGAGAGAGAGAGAATGACATCTAAGTTTTGAGCTTGATGACTGGAAGGATGTAAAAGAAGAGGGCTTGGGGGGAAAGATAACAAGTTCAGTTTTGGACATGTTGAGCTTAAGATGTCTACAAGATATCTAGTTAGAGATGTCCAATAGGTGATTAGAGATGTGAGACTGAAGGTCAGAAAAGAGGTTAGAGCTGGACAAATAAATCTGAGAATCATCTGCAGAGATATTTGAATCCATAGAAGTTGAAGAGATCAACAAGTGAAATTGTACAGGGTGTCTCAAAAATCTTAGTGCAGTTTTTTTAATTAATTTATTTTGATTTATCAACAATCACTTCCATAGCAGTTTTAAGCTATGATAGCTTAACCATTAGGTAGGAAACCAGGGGAGAGCAGTGTCACAAAAACTAGACGAAAAGAGTATCAAGGAGAAGAGGGTGATTGACAGCATCAAAGAATGCAGAGATCAAGAAGGATAAGTATTAAGGGGAAAAAAAGCATTACATGCAGCAATTAAATGATTGTTGGTAACTTTGGAAAGAGCAATTTCAATAGAATAATGAGGGTGGAAGCCAGACTGCAGAGAGTTGAGAAGAAAGTGACAGGGAAGTGAAGACATAGTGTACAGTCTTCTCAAGGTGTTTAGCCATAAAAGGGAGAAAAGATATAGGATGATAGCTAGCACAGATGGAGAAATCAAGTGAAGGTTTCATTGAGGATGAGGGAAATGTGGGCATGTTTGTAGGCAGTAAGCAAGAAGCCAGTAGACAGGATTGAGGGAGTAATCTACTAGACACCACAGGATAGTATGGGGTCACTTGAGTATACAAAGGAGTTTGCCTTAGTAAGGAGAAGAATCACTTCTTCATGTGAGAAGGGTGGAGGAGAAAGTGGCAGAAGACATTTCAGTGATGGCATTTTAGTGATGTGAGATGGCTTCCTTTGTAATCCTATGTATTTTATGTTATGCATTTAGAAACATTAATCAAAGAAGAGGGGCCAGAGACCTCACCAGACTGACAAAGAGGTCTAAGACACAAAAGAGATTAAAAACCCTTGGCTTAGCAGGATGCCTTAAGTGATAATTGTCTATCACTATTCCAGCAAGGTTTTGAAAAGTACAGTTGAAAGATAACACTAATCTTTAATGGTTCTCAGTGTTGGGTACTATGTATGATCCAGTAGTGTACAAATCCTTGGGGACATGGATTATTTTCTTTCTTTTGTCCTCACACATTCTGACATCATCCCTTACTATCTCCTCCTTCAATCTGATCTATGATCAGGTGCCCTTCTACTTGCTAGAGCGAACTCCTCTACATGTACCCTTGATCCCACCCCCTTACATCTTCTCTGGCAGATTGTCCCAACCATAATTCCCACTCTTAGTCCTTCCCCAACTACTGGTTCTTCTCTGCTGTCTACAAATATGCCTGTCTCCTCCATCCTTAAAAAAAAACCCTCAGTAGATCCTACCATGCCTGCTACATATTATCCTATATCTTTCCTCCTCTTTTCAGCTAAACTCTGGGAACCTATCTGTACTCAGTACCTCCATGCCATCTCTTTTCACCCTTCCAACCCTCTGCAATGTCTCTTGACCTCAGCATTCTATGAAATTCTTTCCCCCAGAGATCACCAATGATCTCTTAATGACTTTTTCTTAATCCTATTCCTTTTTGAATTCTCTGCAGCATTTGACATTCTTTCCTCTCTTGGTTTTTAAGATTCTGTTTTCTTGGTTCTCCACATCTGACTATTCTTTTGCAGTATCTTTTTGTTGGATCTTCATTTATGTCACTGTGGCTGTCCTTTAAGACCATCTTAGATTCTTCTCTTTCCATAATGCTTTCACTTGATGATTTCATCAGATCCTATGGGTTCAATGATGATTAATGGAGATGATTCCTAGATCTATTTATCCAGTCCTAGTTTCTCTCCTGAGCTACAGACCCACATCACCAACTGCCAAATTGGGCATTTAGAACTAGATGTCCCCTAAGTATCTCAAACCCAAATTTCCAAAATAGAACTCATCTTTTCCCCAAAACCTACCCCTCTTCCAAACTTCCCTATTACTATTAAGGGTACTTCCGTCTTTCCAGTCACCCAGGTTCACAATCTCAGTGTCTTCCTTGACTCTTTTCTCCTTCACATTACATATCCACTCTGTTGCCAAGTTCAAATTTCTTTTCTCTACAACATCTCTTGCAAATGTCACCCTCTCTCCACCAACAGTCACTACCTTAATTTAGGCATTTACTACCTTTTGCCTAGACTACTACAATAGTTTTCTAAATTGGATTCTCTGCTTTATCTCTCTCCTCACTCCATTCCATTCTCCATGCAGCTGCCAAAATGATTTTTCTAAAATGTAGGTTTGACCAATATGACCCTCCCCCTGCCCACCTCACTAACACTCTTGTGGTGCCTGTCTCTCTCCTCCCCCTGCCCCCTTGCCTTTAGAATTAAACACAAGGTGTCCTAAAATTCTGTGCAGTGTTAAGCTATTAAAACTTATTAAAAATTAATAAAGCTAAATTAATACTTAAAACAGAGACTAAGATTTTTGGGACACCCTGTATAAACTTTTGTTTGGCATTTAAATTTCTTACAACCTTTTTCTTTGCAGTCTTTTAACATATTACTACTCCACATACTCTATGGTCCAGCCACACTGGGCTACTTTCTGTTCGTTAAGCACAGAGCTCTGTTTTCTATCTCTGTGCCTTTGCACTACCTGTCCCCATGAGGAATATTCTACCTCCTAACCTCAGATTCTTAGAATCTGGATCCCTTTAAGACT